ACCCAGAATTTTGGCTATTGAGTTAAAGTGTTCAAATAATTTCGAGTATAATTTCGGCAATTAATAAAGTTAATTTCAGCAACTATGATTTACTAAGTGAAGTAATTTCGGCTAACATCTTTAGTTCTAAATGACAAGCTTGAAAAAAAAGGTATATTCCACATTTGAATTGAATATTTTTATTTGTAAAAAAATATATTTACAGAATGTTGAAAGCTTGCATTGAACTTTGCAACTTGTAATTATCTTGCTATTGTAATGCATCAACTATAATAAAACATAATAATAATATTCAAACCTTCCTTTGGTCTCATAGATCCAAGCATGAGAACAGCACAGCATATGCAATTAGTTATACCAGATGCAATCCGAAACAAGCCGAGTTTGTGGAAAACTTTAGCAATGATGATTTAAATGATTTATCACTAAAGTATAGACATAACAATAGTTGGAAGGAGTCGGAAGAAGATCTAGTAGGAATTGTAGAAGAGATCTTCAAAGCTTTGTATGTAATTCTTATCATAGAAACTACTCCATTACTTTTGTGCTAACTCTTTTTTCTCATAGAGGTGATGTATGGAAGAATCCAGCCTTTAGACCTAACTTTGTAAGTATGCAGAGTGAAGGTATATACACTCCCCTACCATAATAAATATCCGACCACCTGATGATCATTTTAATAATCGGAAATGTTATGCCTTATGCAGTTCAAAATTTTATTAATCAAACCGGGTCTGGTGCATTAAGTAAACATGTTTTTAAAAGTTAATTTGCATATAAACTTAAAGTCTCGTCGAGTTTGCATTATTAATGAATTTAGGATGAAAACTTTAAATTAGACAAAAAATTCCGTGATTTTTATGAAAACTTTGAGCTTAGTAAAAACCTTCAAAACTCCGTTGAACCATGGATTACGTCATTAAGCAAGTCCATTTAAAACATCTTGAATTTATATATGGTTAAAATTTGAGAAAATTTGATCAAGTATAGACAACAAAACGTAAAGCCTTAAAATTTGGATTTTGTCAACTTTATTAAGTGTTTTATATAATAATAATAAAATTACGGGGTGGTCGGATACTTTTTTAAACCCTTTTCACGAACTAATTTATGCCAACATCATATTGCAGATATATGTAATCTGTTACGTCGAACACATTTTATTAATGAATAATAATATACATTACAATGAAGAAATTTGACCTTTATTGCATGTAATGATTCCGATTGAAAATTTGCTTTTTTGGACTATTTGCTAAATGTTTCCATTAATACCGAACCTTTCGAAGCTTTTGTAATTTAGAGATTTTGATATCAAGTACAAGTCTATTCAGTAAAGTAAAAAAGGTTTTATTTAAGAAAACGTTACTTTTATAGTAAATAAGAATGCAGATGGTGAAACTTTTATAGGCGAAATTATTATATATAAGAGGGCAAGACAAGAATAAAGAGTTTTAAAAACAAATACATTTACACAAGCTTTAATAAATAAAAAATCTTCTACCATTATTATTACAATAATGAAGATGAAGGCTCTTTTCATTTGACGTTACACAGATCAGGTGGTCGGATATTTATGGTAAGTGAGTGTACATATTAATTGAGGGCATTTCGCGCGTGTCAAATTGACACTAAATTCACGCACAACATAATAACTTATGCAAATTCTTATTCAAATTTATTCGTAACATTAAATACAGTCAATTAAAAATTTTATTATTCGTTTTATTCGTTTTATAAAATATAGGTCTTATTCCTTTAACAAAATAATATAAATTATATCTATAATCTATTATAAATTTGGCGTGTAACTAATGCAGATTTCTACAAAATTTTAAAAGAATACGTATTTAACATTTAACATTAATATTAACAGTTAATTAGTATGACGTTACACTCGGGCATTGCAAGCCAAATTAACGCGAAAGTTGAATTTACGGTAATTAACCAAAAATGGACTAGTTAGTAAACCATAATGGAGTGAGTTTTTCTTTATTTATTGACCCGAATTAAAGTGTTGCGGTCTCTTTCCTTTTTTTAAAAGTACTTTTCGAATCATAGTGTTAGCGGTAACATTCAATAGAGTTTTTCCGGTCCTATTGAATTTTATACGGTGGTTCTTAAAAAAAGAAAAATGTCAGATGCTTCTATTTATTATTATTATCATTATCATTATCAGGATTGGATTATCAATATGCATACTCGAATAAACCTTATTCGAATAGGAACCCTATATACAACATTGCATTAATTAATTGTCTTCTTTTCCAAAAAAAAAAAAAATCTATGGTAAATGATAAGTGTGTACAATCAAAAAGAATTGTTCCGCGACCACTATTATTATTATTTATTCTTGCTTGTTTTGGTAAACCAATAGTAGTTGCGATGTAATTCATTCCGATCAGTTCAAAGGGGTTAAGTCCTAATTAGTATTAGCCAAGTTGCTCATGGCCAAACCCGACTTCGATCAATATTTATATATTATTATAGATTTTTTATCAGTTCCTTGTTTCCCGTAATTTAATTCAAAACCATCTTAATCGCCAAGAATATCTAAACAAATTTCTAAAAACACATATTGATAAAATGGATGAATTGCATACACTATACATGTGATCACGGTAATTTCATTTGTATAATGAAGTATCCGGAAAACACAATTGTAGGAAGGAATCAAGCGACACACAATTTATTTTATAATCAACTGCGGTATAGTACATGCATAGTAGTATTGTCAATAGAGTTATGATATATTTGCTTCCTATATAAAAGGGATCAATTCTTTTCGATGAAAGCAAATACTTTTTCAAACCATTTAATGGTGATATTATAAACATATTTTAATTATTTAATAATAATGTTAAAAAATATCAACAACGCCGTTACCGACACCAATAAGATCAACAAAAATAAAAATAAAAAAACCAGAGGCCCGTACGTTTCAAGAGCATGCAATAACTGTAAAAAAACACACAGGAAATGCTCAGAAGGAAATGGTAGCTGTAAAAATTGTTTGCGTAAAAATTGGAATTGTTCTAAAGATATTTTTATTGTTCAATCAAATAACGGTATCGTTGATAAAGGTAAAATTTAAGTTGATATTTTTGTTGTAAAAACAATTATGAAATTTTATTTTTTTCTACTCTTCAATGAAAAAAAATAGGCGAAAAACTTATTTCAACCAAGTTTACACCGATCCATCAATTTTACAGTTATTATCAAGCATATCAGAATAATATTGACTACTTGGATAATTACCATTATAATGATATCACCAACAGCCATGACAATTTTTTAATTAATTAATGGAATTCATCATTATGTTTATACTTTATTACGTTTTACTTCGAATTTTTAATAGTTACACATGTTATATATATAACGGTTACTGTAAGTTATGATTTTTTTTTTTCAAATTATACTTTATGCATTCATAGTTATGCTTAAGTTATGCTTTATGCGCTCATAATTTTTAAATTTTAAATTTTATGTATTTTAATTAATAATATTAAGTAGAATAATATCAATTTTTAATACAATTACTAAATATGCTTTTCTACTGATCTAAATATACTAAGTTCATAATTAAACTTTTAATTATTTTGAAAAATATTTAAATTTTTGTCATCTTTCAAAATTCTGTTATAATAACATAAAAGGTGGTCTTGACAAGGTTTGTAAATATCTAACCAAACAACCACCTATAAAAAAAAAGTAGTCCTTTATTTTTATTATCATAATAAAAGCCAATAGGATCCGTTACCACTATAATGTGGATGGAAAATCAAATTTTGTGTTCTATTGTTCAACATTTGATCAATTCACTTATGATGCAACAAAAAGAAAAATTACAAAAAAAAATAAAAGGGCGTAGAAATATTGCATAACGGAAAAAATTAATGGCAGTTAGAATTGTAAAACGCAACTAATCAAAACCCTATTCAAGTTTTGGTTAACGCTTATACTTAACACTGGCCCGTGTGAAGATTCAACTTTTATTGATAGTGTGGAAACAGTTAGAAGGCAAGCGGTTGATGTTTCACTTCTTCTGGTGTTGGTCGTCAAAACTGGGTTCGACTTGTGGAGAAAACTTTTGACTTTCGAACAGTTGCAAAACTCTATAGTTTTGGAAACCAACACTAACCTCTTCGTATAATAAATCAATCTATTGGAGTAAGTTGTAATCATTTATTTTACTATCGATTATGATATTTTGAATATCTTTCTAAATATATTATAATGATAATATGGTAATAATAGGCATGTAAATCAGCTTTCAAAATGTTTGGTTGATGAATTAACTAATGCTATTAGTTTGTATATCATGTCATTTTTACTGGTGTTAACTATCTTAATTTTAAAAAGAAAAGATTCCAATTTATGTTTTAATTAGAGGGAAGTTCAAATCCATATACCATTAAAAAAAAAGATTAATTAGGTAATTATTATTTCTTGATCAATATTATATTTATTAATTTAGTACTGTTAGAGTTTAAATCTTGATCCCTATTTACTATTTAAGATTCTCGAATTTTCTTGGACTTTCTAACTACATTCATTGTTTAAACAAATAAATTAATTTGATTCCACAAAATTTAACTTTTTAACATTGAGGCTAAAAAAATTGATTTCATAATTTTTGGTAACAAACATACGCATCATAAATTCTCGTTAATAAATAATAAATAGTAGTGATGTTAGCCGGCAGAAAAACCTTAGCCGGCTAAGAACTTGAATAAATTTTTTATCTAATAATTTAGTAGACAAATATCATACTTTGTATAAATTCACT